CCCCTGCGCGAGAAGTATGCGTGCCCTGTCCGTGCATGCGTAGAATACGTGCAGTGCACGCTCGCGTGACCCCAGTCGCCTGCGCTCGGTCCGAGCAGGCGTAAGAGTCCTAAACCTGCACGTGCCCGAGACCTCTGTTGTCGTCCCACGTCCGCGACACGTCGCGCCAGCAACCCACGCCACCTCTCAGCGCTTGTCCGCGACTGACCCGACCAATACGTGACCAAATCGAGCTGACTGAGTCCAGTCGCAGCTCGACCGAGTCAGCCTGAGTCCGACCGAGTCAACTCAACAAAACGAATTCGATTCGACCAGGCCGAGCCCGATAGTTCAATTCCAGTGTTCTTCGTGATTCAACGACTCGATCAGAATCGAGAAATGCTAGATCCGTCAGCCAATCGAATTCTGGTAAGCAGATGATCTCCATCAAAATAAATCAGAAACATCTCTGAGTCGTCAAAAATTTCAAACGGTAATGTCCTAACCCTAACTATAGATTCTGTTGCGTTAGAGTTTATTTTGTCAAATTCAAACGTGCATGTTGTTGTCATTCCTAATAGAACCCAACATCCGCACGGTAGGGGGCAAACATCCGTGCGATGGATAGAATCCTACCCGTCTCACGGAGCTTGACAATATCGTCGTTCTTCATGTCTTTGATCGCATTACCCAATGAAAAGTAGTTGGTGTGTGGGCCACCGACACGATGATCTTCTTCAGTAACCTTCAGAGAACATAGAGGCTTGTTCGACGTCGAGGTTCGCTTGTGCATCTCCTCGGACTAAAGGGACCCTTACCCTTCCATGGATGTCGTCCCTCAAGGACTCCTACACTGGATTGGAGTCATAACTATCGGTAGATGATAAGGCCATGTAAAAAACAGTGAAAATTAAGCGATGAATATGAACAGAAATCTTACCGACGTTATAGGCGAAGTTGGAGAAGACAATTTGTTTGATTCTTTGATTCTAAGAAGTTTGTAATGCTTGCAAGAAATTTGGAGAAGGTCAAGAACAACAAAGGGTAAAGTTTCTTATATACTATGGAGACGTCGCATGGTAGGAAGTCGAGCCTTTTAAAAAAATGGAATTAAAGGTGCGTTTTGTTGGGATCTGTGAGGATCTCGTTATGTACAAATCACGAATTCAATAGCAAACGTAAACCTATGCGCAGCGG